CCAACATCCAAGTACTTCAGCATCATTCCACTAGTTTACCAAAATTTCGGTTTTTGTTCTTAGGAGTTATTTGTTTATCTCTTAATAGTTCTATTAAGAGGTMGTCTCTGAATCGTTAAGAGGTGAATCTTGTTTGGCAAAAAAAAGTTTGCCTCTTAATGATTCTAAAACCATCTGAATAATTTTATATCATGAGCCTCCCTTTAACCATTAAGCGTCATAATTTCATTGTAAACAATTACCAAACAAATATATTTTCTTTTGCACTATATCATGAGAGCCTCATAATCATTCTGACCACTTAATCATTCTGCACTAAACCATTCAGCAACTGCCAAACAGCCTCTTTAAGTTTCGAATTACACAAGTAATCCTACAATCTTTTTAACCCACTTCCGGTTTTTTTCGTGGGTTGTGGTCGATTTTTCACCCATTATTTAATATTTATTAGTTTATTTTTTACTGTTACTTATTAATTGTTAGGGTTAGGAAGAGCTTTGCTCATGAGGAAAAACTTCATTATACAAAATAAGATGTTAATAAGAAATCTAACATCTGAAACAAGTTGTGGTGGTAACGATTCTCGTAATATTCTCTAACCTAACTATATTCATTAGATGCATAGTGAAATTGATTTGTATGATCTTTCGTAGGATCAATCATAAAAGAGAAAAATCATGTTACTTCAATTCTAACTCCATCACCAGAATTTCTTGATCTATCATCGGCTAAAAAGCAATGCAAAAATGTCGGCGACACATCGTCCAACTACTCGAATTAATGCGGTTCATTCAAAACCCCATCAAAAGCAGCCCCCTTTTGTTGATTGGTATCGTTCTTGTATATGTACTGTGAATTAAGGTAAGAATCGTTACGAATCTTATTAGAACTTTCTTTTACATTTAAAACATGATCATATATATATATATATATATATATATGTCGAGAAGCGATCAAATGCAAACCACCTAATTTGTACAAACCTTGCAAACCTCATTCAACCAATCATAATTTTTCATTTTGTTCATTTTTTTGTAATTATGAGAGGTTGATTAATCATTATTATTGTGGAAGGTATTAACCATGGGTAATTGAGTATTATCATCTTATTATTTTAATTTTAGAGAAATACATGAAACAGTTTCATTAAAATTTTATTAAGTATTATATGAAACAATTTCATAACTATATATCAAATAAATTTATCAAAAAAAGTATTATATGAAACAATTTCACAAGATTAAACAATTTCATGAAAAAAAATTATAAGATTAAACAATGAAATCAACAAATGATGGTGGTTTACACGGTTTGTACAAATTGGGTGGTTTGCATTTGATCGCTCCTCTATATATGTCTATATGTATACATATTCTATATAACATGTGTGTATATATATATATATATATATATATATATATATGGGATGGTTCAAATGCTAACCAAGATTATCGTGTTAACTTTGTTAACCGATCTTGACCGTTAATTTGAATAATAAACGGTTGTGATTTAATGACATTTAAAAATTATTATTAAATTAATATTTTCAATTAACATATGTGAACAAAATATTAAAGGGTATTTAGGTAAATAGTAATCTATCTTTGATACACGAGTTGTCAGACATATGAACAACTTGTGTATATCTTCAAACCACATCAAACAAAAAAGATTAGACATATGAACAACATGTGAACCGTATGAACATCTTTTGTATATTCAGGAGCCAACTCTGCTGTATGTACATGAACACCTATGAACCAAGGAATCTAGGGCTGTGTGTTTTCATACATGTTCACATGTTTTCACATGTTCTCTCTGTGTGTGTGTATGTGTATGTATTCATATGAACATCTAGTGACTTGAATATACATGAACACTTATGAATCACGACATCTAAGACTGTGTGATTTCTGATGTGTTCATATGTCAAATGTGAGAACTGTCGATTAAAATAAATGTGAAATATAAAACATGAACACATGTGAAACCCCAATGTCAATATTGCATCATGATCAATTGTGATATTTTCAAATTTGTAACTCCCAATTAATTATTTGGGAGTTACATAAAATAACAAATTACTTAAATACCCTTGTATTTAATATATGAGTTACATTTGAACCAAAGGAAAAGATGACATATGATTGGTTGAGCTTGGTTAACATAGTTGACACAAAAAAATTGGTTAGTATTTGAACCAAGCTATATATATATATATATATATATATATATATATATATATATATATATATATATATATATATATATATATATATATATATATATATATATATATATATATATATATATATATATATATATATATATATATATATATATATATATATATATATATATATATATATATATATATATATATATATATATATATATATATATATATATATATATATATATATATATATATATATATATATATATATATATATATATATATATATATATATATATATATATATATATATATATATATATATATATATATATATATATATATATATATATATATATATAGTTTGGTTCAAATATTAACTCAAACTATTGTGTTAATTTTGTTAATCATTTCCAACCAATCACAATTCATCTTAGTATTAGGTTCTTATCCATCTTAGAATTTAACGACAATGGTACATATGTAATTTTATTTTTTATGTAACTCCTATATCATTAATTCGGAGTTACAAAATCATAAAATCCAATGATTTGTGTTAACTTATTATTAATATTGTTTATTTTAATATTAATTTTCTATCTTTAACGTTTATGAATTTGTGATTGGTGGAGGAGACCCGGTAGTAAAGTTTTCGGTATTGTTCAAATTGACATATACGAAAGATGATGAACATGTGTGACCATATGAATGCAAATTCACATATGAGAACATTCGTACAACCATATGAACA